GGGGGGCAGGGTAACCAGGTGATGGGCATTAAGGAGGCCACATGATGTGATGAGCACTGGGTGTTATATTCAAGTGATGAATTACTGAACTCTACATCTGAAACTAATAATACACGATACGTTAACTAATTGACTTTAAATAAGTATAAAAAAGAAAGCTACATAATATAGTGTGGGCCCAGTTGACCATACTTTCCAATTCAACATTCATCTTCCATTTTTATATTAAAATGACATTTCATCGTCAAGGAGGAGGGGATAGCATCTTCTTGATTCAAAGTAAAGCATCTGGAAACACATTATTGCTTCCTGCATCACTCTTACCCCCAACCATTGCTAACATACTGGGCATTTTGTCCATTCCTGACATATTTTAAAATACTTTTTATTGAGGTATAATTAACATACAGTGTTATATTAGTGTGTGTCCATAATACAATTCAGGATAAAATTCTTTAACACAATGTCAGCATAGCTAAACTCTTCACTCTTCTGTTTTAAATTTAGTTCACAAAGTGTAAGGTGATACAACTTTTCTGGGTGTCAAGTGGTGGTGGTACTTGTGAGGGCCTGAGTCTGAAGATCACATGGGAAGAGTAGCAATGAGGGGGCATACGTAAAATAGGGAAAGTAATACATACATGTATATATTCTGCTCCCTTCCTATTAAGTGATGGGGCCCATCCTCATATCTCTAGATTTAATCCAAAATAATATAGACTTATATTATGAATGTTATGGAATTATGGAATATTATGTAAATTTTAAAATGTTATAAAAAAGACAGATTTCTTTTTTGCCTCTCAGAGTAACAAAGACTAATAATATTGATGAGTGTTAGCAAGTATATGAAGGAATAGACATTCATGCTTCATGGGTTGAGGGGATATATTTTAGAAATCAGTTGGCCAACATATATCTTTTTCTTTAAAGATTTATTTATTGATTTATTCGAGAGAGAGAGAGAGAGAGAGAGAGAGAGAGAGAGAGAGGCAGAGACATAGGCAGAGGGAGGAGAAGCAAGCATCATGCAAGGAGCCTGATGTGGGACTCAATCCCGGGACTCCGGGATCATGCCCTGAGCTGAAGTCACGCTCAACCACTGAGCCACCCAGGCATCTCTGGCCAGCATATATCAAAATTTGTAAATATCTGTAAGAAAAGCAGTCCCTGACATCTAGGAGCTGGCCTGGCACTCACAGCCAAGCCTTGGTGTTCTCTTGTTGAAAATAAACTTCACAGGACATTAATATCAGATAAGGTCACTCTATTACTGTGATGTATCAAGAGAAAAACAAGACCACTGTGTAATCATGTATGAACACTTGGAGACATTGTTCAAATCACAAAAATAACTAAATATGCCCTCATTCTGGCTGATATGAGTGATTTCTGCTTCTTTACCTATCACAGTTTTAGCCCCAGCCTCGTCTTCCCCATTTGTAGAGTAAGATTTTAGATACCAAATCATGCTTCTATTACTCAAGCTTCCTGACAACTTTCAATCTACAGTGAAGCCTCACTCCCTTAAACTGTCCCCTGAATCACCTAAGTCTGAATCCTAGAAGTGATTTCTAAAACCCTCTTATTGGAGTACCAGATGATTTGCCATGATACATGTTCTTTCTCTTTGTAATCAAACTTGTTCAATTACAGGCATATTCCTGGTGGTTTTTGGCTGGAGAGCATTGCCATTCATTATCTTTGACAAAGAAGTTCCACTTCAAATAATTTATCATACAGAAATATTCAAACAGGCATGATGATATAAACAGAGATACATCAATTTTCACAGGAAAATATGAATATGAAAGAATATGCTAAAAAGTATGTTGCATAACTACAAAATGCTGCCAAGAGAAATTAAAGGAGACCTAAATAAGTAGAGAGATCTATTTTGTTCATGGGTCAGAAGATTCAATATTATTAAGACGTTAGTTCTCCTTAGTCTATTAATTTAAAACTATATGAATCAAAATCCCAGCTAGAGTTTTTGTAGAAATGGATAAGCAGATTCTAAAATTTATATGGAAAAGCAAAAGTAAAAATAATCAAAATAGCTTTGAAAAACAACAGTTAAAGAGCTCATGCTGCCTGATTTCAAGACATTATAAAACTACAGTAATCAAGACAGCATGGTACTGCAATCAAGATACACAAGTAGATCAATGCAACGGAATAGAGTCCAGAAACAGATCCATACGTATGGGGACAACTGATTTTTTGACAAAGATGCAACAAAGAGAACTTAAGAGATTGAAAGAAGTCTCTTAAGCAAGTGATACTGCAACAATTGTATGTCATCACTATGCCAAAAAATGAACTTTAACTTATGACTTAGGCAATACATAAAATCTCAAAATGGATCAGACCTAAATGTGAAACCTAAAACTATAAAACTTTTAGCATATAAAATCTTTGTGACCTTGGTTAGGGGATTGTTTCTCATATGTAACAGCAAAATACAACTGGTAAAAGAACTGTTCATCAAAATTTAAAACCTCTATTCTTCAAAAGTCCTTTTTAAGAGTAAAAAAGCAATCCATAGACTAGGATAAACTATTTGTAAAACATATATCCGGTAATAGACTTGTATCCAGTAAATGTAAAACCAATGCTTACAAATCAACAATAAAAATGAACCACCCAGTTAAAAAAGAGCAAAACATTTACATAAACTTCACTCAAGATATATGGATGGCAAATATGCATATGAAAAGATGTTCAACATCATTCATTATTAGAGAAATGCAAATTCTAACTGCAAATGAGAATGAAAACAGAGTCAGTACATCTTGGGTATCAGTCTGAGCAATATTTTTTTGGATCTATTTCCTCAAGGAAAACAAAAATAAGCTAATGGAACTACATCAAACAAAGCTTTTGCACAGCAAAGGAAACCATCAAAAGAATGAAAAGACAACCTACTGAATGGGAAAAGATGTCTGTAAATGATAAGACTGATAAGGGGTTAATAACCCAAGTATATAAAGAAACCTCATACAATTCAATATTTAAAAAACAAAACACAATCCAATTAAAAGATAGGCAGAGGACCTGAACAGACACTTCTCCAAAGATGTACAGATGGCCAACATAAGTTGCTCAACATTACTGATCACTGGGGAAATGCAAATCAAAACCACAGCATCAGTTTACACCTGTCAGAATGGCTAGTATCAAAGAGAAATAAACCATATTGGTAAGGATGTGGAGAAAAGAGAACCTTCTTGGACTGTTTGTGGGAATGCAAAATGGTGGCTACTATGGAACAGTATGGAGGGTTCTCAAAAAAATGAAAATAGAACTATCATTCAATCCAGCAATTCCACTTCTGGGTATTTATCTGAGGAAAATGACACTAATTCAAAAAGATACATGCAATTCTATGTTCACTGCAGCATTATTTACAATAGCCATGACATGAAAGCAACCTGTGTCCATTGATAATGAATAAAGATGTGACATATATACAATGGATTATTTATTCAGTCCTACAACAGTATGAAATCTTGCCATTCTTGACAACATGGATGGACCTAAAGAATATTTTAAGTAAAATTAGACAGAGAAAGTCAAATACTATATGGTTTCACTTATATGTGGAACCTAAGAAATAAATGAACAAAACAGAAACAGACTCATAGATACAGAGAATAATCTGGTGGTTGCCAGAGGGGCAGGAGTAGGAAGGGAATGGACAAAATAGGAGAAGGGGATTAGAACGTACAAACATCCAGTTATAAATTAAGACACAAGGACAGAATGTACAGTATAATTTAGTAAATAATATTTAACAATTTTATATGGTGACAGATGGTAGATAGACTTATCATGGTGATCATTTTGTAACATATAAATGTTGAATCACTGTTATACAACTAAAACTAATATACTATTGAATGTCAACTGCACTAAAATTTAAAAAAAGAACTACAATGACATATGGCTAAAATTAAAAGACTGACCATACTAAATGTTAAAAAGCATGTGGAGAAATCAGAACTCTAACACTGTTGCAGGAATGTAAAATAGTACAACCACTCTGGAAATGTAAGTTAAATGTATACCTACCATAAGATCTAGCCATTCCATTCCTAGGTATTTACCCAAAAGAAAAGCAAAGCACATGTCCAGAGGAAGAGTTGTATACAAATACTCATAGCAGCTTTATTTGTAATAGCCCAAAATCTGGAAACAACCCAAAATCTCCATCAACTGGTAAACGGATAAGCTGTGATATAACCATATAGTGGACTACTTGGAAATACAAAGCAATGAACTATTAATACACGTAACAACATGGATGGGTCTCAAATAATTATGCCGAGTGAAAGAAGCCATACACTTCTGACCACCCCCCCATACATTCTGTATTGTTCCATTTGTATAAAATTGCAAAAAATGAAAACAATTCTATATTATCAAAAAACAGATCAGTGGTTGCCTGGGGGTGGGGAGACATGGGGAAAGGTGGGAGGGATTAAAAGGGGCATGAAGAAATTCTGGGGGGCGTTGATGTTCAATATCTCGACCGTGGTGATAGTTTCACCTATGTGTGAAACTGTATTAAATTATACATATTTTATTTAGAGAGAACACAGAGGGGAGGGGCAAAGGGAGGAGAGAGAATCTTAAGCAGGCTCCACACTCAGTGTGGAGTCCAATGCTGGGCTCGATCTCATGACCCTGAGATCATAACCTGAGCTGAAATCAAAAGTCAGTCACTTAACCAAATGAGCCACCCAAGAGCCCCAAGATTGTATATTTTAAATATGTATGGATCAATATATATTGATTGTACCTTAATAAAGCTATTAAGTAAAAAGCTTGTGGCAGATCTGAATACCAAGTTAGAAAGATAATTGTAAAGATGAGGCAAGTTGCAGAATACCAGACTCTTGTTTTCCCAAAAGAAAAAATATGTACATATTATTAAGAGGGATATGCAATGAAACACTGGGGCACTATGTGCTAATTGTTAATAGCAAAGAAACATTAAATGATTCAAAAATATGTTACAGAAGCACATTTATTGACATGGAAAGATACAATATACAGTTGGGGGGGAAAGCAAGTTACAAACAGTACTTACAGTATGATCTTGTTTTAGTTTCTTAACTATTGAAAAACCTCAAAGCATATAACCTAATATTTTCACACACTGAGACATTCTCTTCAGCTTGCATCAGCAGTTGTAATTTCTACCATGAGTTATCTGATGAAGGTAGAATAAGTGAAAAATAGTAATTCCTCTTATATCAAACAGCCTACAGCAACTCCTGCCTTCTTTACATGTTGAGTGCACATTCAGCAATGAATGTGTAGGTGTATGGATGTATGGGAGTGCTGTAAGTTATCTTTTTGTGTACATATGCTTTATTTCTGCAATGAGATTACATATTCAGTATTTTTTTCGGTTTTTGCCACTTGAAGCCACAAATGCATTTAAGCAAACATTAATGAACAAGTTAGCCTACTTAAGATGAACTGGTTCACTATCTTAAGTAAAATGTTAAAGTTACCCATCTACACAAGATAAAAAAAAAATCCCAAGATAAAAATCAACAGATGTTTTCAGGTTACAATGCAATATTCATTGGTATCTCAAAAATGGTCTGGCTCAAACCTAGAGACTGTCGCAGGTAACATCATGTTAAAGATGTAATTTATAATGTACATACTGTAATAAAACATTATGCAAGGCTCTTTAGGAAGAGCCAGCCTATTAGACTTCGGAGATTGTTCAAAGACTAATATTATTATTATTACTTTTTATCTTATTTCTGGCTCATTTTACATTGTTTCAATAATTACTTTAACTTCACGGAAAATGGCCATCAGCGTATTATAACTCATGTGATCAACAACTACAATTGAACCCTTTCTGATATGCTCCTTTATGTTAATAAATATGGCCACAGCACTAACGAGATTGGCTTTTGCCTCTTTCTGGTTAAAGATGAGTTTTAAAGCTGCTAAGGCCTTTGTATTGATCATGTCTCTGGCTGCAGCTGGATTTTCAGACATATTCAAAAGTACTTTTAAAACAAGATTTCTGGTTTTACGATTACCCAAGGATAGCAAGTGGAAAAGCTCTGAAAAGTAATTGGCAACAATGTGGTGATGGTCAAAATCAGTAGTCAGTTGCCCTAGTATCCTTAATCCAGATTGCTGTCCCGGTGAGTTCAAGGGAAAAGACATGGTTTCCTTACACATATGCTTAACATGTAATTCAATCTTGCGTTGTCTCTCATCCCCAGAAGGGGGATTCAGAGTAATTATGGCCTTTTTTCTGATTTCAGAGGAAGGAAAACTGAGCAAGCTTTCAATAAGCGTCACGACACCCACCTCATTAATAAACTCTTGGGCAAAGGGGTGAACATTAATGATCCCCATTGCAATTTGAGCTATTTTATGAATGAGAGGATCAGTAGTTGACTTAAGTAAGGTAACAAGTTTTTCAAATTCCTCAGAATCCATGTAGCATTCCATTTTGCAAGGGCAAGCAAATGGTTTAATCCCATTCATTTCCCTGATCCTGATTTGGCGTCTAATCTCCTCTATGGTCTGGATGCAAGGGTCAGAACCAAATGGGTACTCTGGGACAGGCTGTGAGCACGAAGTAGTGCTCTTAGAAGGGCATGTTGTCGCCACAGGCAAAGAATGGGCATTTTCCTCAGCTGAGGCCAGGACAATATATGAAGGAGGCTTTGTCTCAAATGGGACTTGGGATCTAAATCCTAACACTGCTGGAGTTACAGCAGGGGCTTTAGGCCAGATAGTTACCTCAGACCAGTCCTTAGGCCTATTTTTTTCATTAATTTCATCCACAGGCTGGGGCCTAACTATCCTGCTCACAGGTCTAGGATTAGGGTCAAAACTAGTTTCATCTCCATCCCAAAACCAGTTTCCAATAACGTTTTCTTCCTCCTCCTCCTCAGTCCCTTGCTTAGCTTTGCAGCTTGCCTCAGCCACAGACTCTAACTTTTCAGCACAGGATGGGGAACCAATACCAGCTTTACCTTCATCCTTAGCACTCGAACGATTACTAGCCTCTTCTCCATCCCAAAACCAGGAACCAACATTAGCCTCTTCCCCAGTCCAAAACCAGGTACCAATACCAGCCTTATCTTTACATGTGGACTTGGTCTCAGCATTAGCCTCAGCCACAGAACAAATCCCAGATACTTTAGTGGCCTCATCTCTAGCTTTGGGACTGAAATCTGCCAGGGCTCTTTCCTTTCTCTCAGTAACAATCTTGTTCTTAGACTTTGCCTTCATGGCTGCCGCTGCATCAGCTTGAGACCCTGGCTTGGCTATTGCTTTGTCCTGGGTCTTGGCTACAGGTCTGACTATGCCAGTAGCCTCCCTCTTTGCTTCAGGTTGTAAACTGGCCCGTTTTTGAGTTTTGGCTTTGTTTCTACCCTCATTCTTAGCCCCAGTCATGGTTGAAGACCAGTTATATAGATAGCCCTGTATAATCTTGGCCTTGGTTCTTGTGTTGCAGGTCAATGTCTCAACACTCTTTGACTGGGTCAGACATAAACTTTGTAGCAAGAGTTAGTCATCAGCTCAGCAGTCACACAGTCCCCTTTTCCAACACACAGCCTCTGTGAATGATACAGAGAATACAGAGGCATTCAGCCTGAGTGAAGATGATGGTTCCTGAGTGCAGACCTGTTGAAGGTGATGATCCGCCACTCCAAGGCCACTACAGCCACCACTGGAGATGGACCTGAGGTGGAAGAAAATGAGCTTTAAGTCACTTCCAACTGTGATTCTCTATGCAGATAGCCACATAAGACATGAGAAAATAAAGATGAATTGTGTGGTAGAATAGTAGAAAACTCTGCTACCTCATTTTATCCCTTCCACACTCGCCCTAATGCCCAACAATGTACTGCCCAGGCACTAACACAGTGTTTTCTCTATATCACACTGGAGCAGTGATAATGGAAAAGCTTGCTGAAAGTGAAAGAGCCTAACATCCAGCCCCTTTGGTATATACCACTATACTCTATAGGTCTATCCCCAGATAGGTTTCACACAAACCCATACTCATCTAGTGCAATTTTCTCCCCCTTTCTTATTTCCAGGAACAATAAGCCCTATAGCTGATGTACAGGCTAACCTATGGACAGGAGGTATACAGGAGGGCTGGAATTTTGAGTATTTGGTAGATAGACATATACTCTGGATTCTTTTTTTTTTAATTTTTATTTATGATAGTCACAGAGAGAGAGGGGGGGGCAGAGACATAGGCAGAGGGAGAAGCAGGCTCCATGCACCAGGAGCCCGATGTGGGATTCGATCCAGGGTCTCCAGGATCGCGCCCTGGGCCAAAGGCAGGCGCCAAACCGCTGCGCCACCCAGGGATCCCTATACTCTGGATTCTAAACCTAATATATGCCTTTCCAAACCTAAAACTTTGGTTATATATATTCTAGCCTCCTTGGTCCTCCTCATGGCTTGCCATGCCATTTCCTGGGTATCAGTTACCATATAGGCAAAATCCTGGCTTAACTTACTCCCATTTCCTATAAACAAATGTCAAGATAGAAGTGTCTGCAAAGTTGGAAGACAAATGGCTTCAAGATATGATCTGGTCTTACCTACTTGCCAAAAGCCTATTTCCATCCCCAATCAATAGGGGTACTCATGCTCACACTCACCTTGGATCCAAATGAATAGTTTCGTTCTCTTGCTTAATTCAAAGTGGACAAGTATCTACAAATTTCTACAGGAACCTATAAAAAAACAAAGTTAAAAATAGATAAAAAAGGCAAAAGAGAAAAAATAGAAGAGACCGAGCTAGCCCAACACCCATGACAAGTGTTCTAACACGTATATCTGTTTACTTGAGGCCAAGTTAAAAGTCTCCCTGTTTGCTCCTACCAAATGATTCTGCATCCATTCCCCTAAGACCAGCAGCTTGTCTAATTATACTTCCTCCCAATTTTTAGTTCTGTCATTTTCCCAGCAGAGACCACATCTCGTTCCCTGAACAAAATATGAGATGCAGGAGTGGATAGTGTATTGTAGGCAATTGTATTTAGAGAGCCATCAGTGAAGGTAATTGTGACTATTATTTCAATACCATCCTTGCATACCCCTGCCCCTTACTTTTCCCCATGCATACACAGACCCTACCTCATTGCAACCTATGCCAGCCAGCCCACACAGCAGGGATCCTCAGGGACTTCTATCCTTCTCACCAAACAACAGTTCTTTAGCTGGAGAAGAGTCACATCCTGAAAAAAAGGAGGAGGAGCATGAATGCAAAACACCAAGAGAATATACTGACAACAGCAGGAAAATACCAGGTTAATAGATTCCCAGAATTCAGGTCCTAACACCACCTGTTGAAGAATCAAGAAGTAAGTATAAATGTCATAGGTTCTAAATTGACCCATCAGAAAACATTCCCCTCTATTCTGACCCATTCCCACACCTCAACATATTAAAGTGGGGTGGAATGTTGGAAAAAAAAAAGGATCCTGGAGGAGAAAGGTGAATTAATACACTATTTCCTTACAGGGACCCTTCCAGTAAAAGGTGATCTACTCCTCTCCCTGTAATTTCCTTGCATTTAACTGGGTGCAAAATAGAAGTATGGAAAGCATATACTGTATTATGAGGTGGATAAACATTTCATTTAGCGGTCTTCATAATGTACCCACTCAACTGCCCTTTTCTTAATGCGCCAGACCTACCGCGCAGACTTTGTCATCAATCAGCCGCCTGTGGTAAGGGACGGCACCCGCGGCGCGGGCCCAATAGGGCCCCTTCCAGAATCAGGGCCCGGAGTGGCCAACTCCGCCCGCCACCGGCTCCCGCCAGCGGGGCACAGCGCTCGGACGCCGCCCCCCTCTCCCGCCCCGGCGGCTTTCCTGGGCGCCCCCCACCCCAGCACCCGCTCCGCCATTTCTTCCTCAGCAGCCTCCCCCCAGAGCTCTCCCCCGGCACAGGCACCGTCGAGGGCGGGTCGCGGGTCCCTGGAAAGGTGGCTGCGGAGTGGAGGGCGCAGTTCGTCTCCACAGGATCCGAGGGAGCCAGCCTCTCCCGCCAGCCCCCGTGCCCTGGGCCCGGCCCGCGCGGGTCGCCGCCTCTCCTCGCCAGGGTCCCGTGGCGCTGCGCACCTCTCTCAGGCACCAGCTACGACCGGGTCGCCTCCTCTTTGCCAGGCTGCCAGGGTCTGGGGCTCGGGAGGGCTGGAAGCGGGCGACAGTGGGGGCCTCCCCCACCCCACGACACCCCCACTTGCCTTCACAGGCTCAAGGTGCCGGTCGTTGGGCTCCCCCTCCTCTCAGAGCTCCTCACCCGGATTCCCACCGCCTTGCGTGCGGCCACAGTTGCAAAGAGGCGTCCCGCCCCCCCCGCCCCCCCCCCCCCCCGCGCTGCCGCACCAAACTGGGCAGGGGCTGCGCAGGATGCCGCACGAAACGCTCGCGGCGAGGGTGTCGGGAAGGGGGGCGGAGGGATAAGGCACGAATGGGCTCGACGCCCCCTCCCCGGCCCACCCTAGTTCCGACCCAGAGGGGGCGGGGCCGGGAGGAGCCCCGGCCTAAGGGGCGGGCTCACAGCAGCCCGCCTCTGCAGACAGACCTCGGCCGCGACCACCCCCTCATCGCTGGCACCGCGATATGTGGGACTGGGGGACCCTTGGCGGTGGGGGCTAGCATCGAGAGACCGGGGGTGAGGGGGACGGGGGGGAAGGGCGGAGAAAGTGCGCTGCAGGCAGCAGCGGATGGATATCAACCGCCCCTCGGTGTGGGAGAGCCCCCAGACCTCTCACCGTCTGCCTGCCCCCCTCCCCCATTCCGTCCGCCACCCTCACTCGAGGCTGGTGGGCGAGGGGCTGTCAGGACAGCAGGCTGCAAGGGGAGAGACGACCTAAGCCCAGACTGCCCCGGGGGTCCTGGGGTGGCCCTTTCCTTCATTGCTTCGCGGGGCCACGGAAGGGAGGAAGGTGGGCGGGGGTTCCCATGGAGGCCTCACCACTGCGCCTTTTCTAATGGAAGGCGACCTACACACCTGTAACCTGAGGAAACCAACCACTGCTCTGCGCGCATTCTTTCTGCCACACTGCTGTTTCCCCCGCCTCATTCAAACCGGTAACATGGCCGGGATGAGCACTGGGTGTTATTCCGTATGTTGGTAAATTGAACACCAATAAAAAATTAGTTTATTAAACAAACAAACAAACAAACAAACCGGTAACCTGCTTTGCCATTTCACGGTCCTCACAGTTAGTTGCCCAAGAAGGAGGGCCGTTTTTTTCCCTATCAGGACCCGCACTGGGTCATACGATCTTTCCTGTCTGTTGCCCCCGTGGCCGGTGCCGGGCTGGTCCTGGCTCCTCTTCAACTGGGCTATCAAGTCTCTTGCAGTCCCATCCAAGCTCTCACGATCTTCGGCAGTGTGGAAATGTGGCAGGGATTAGAACCAGCTTGGATCTCAGCCACTTGCCATACACACCTGTCTAGTTTATCCATTACAGCTGTTAATATATTAAGCATACTTATTTTAAATTCCCTATCACATACTCCCAAAATCTGAATTATATCTGAGTCTGGTTCTGATGGCTAGCTTTGTATCCTCAAAATGGGCTTTTTTCTTCCTTTTTAGCATGCCTTATAATTTTGTGTTGAAAACTGAATATGGGGCAGACCGGGTGGCTCAGAGATTTAGCGCTGCCTTCAGCCCAGGGCGGGATCCTGGAAACTCAGGATCGAGTCCCGCATTGGGCTCCTTGCATGGAGCCTGCTTCTCCCTCTCCCTGTGTCTCTGCCTCTGTGTGTCTCTCATGAATAAATAAATAAAAACTTAAAAAAAAAAACATGTTCCATTGGGTGATAGGATTTGAGGTGAACAGACGTTTAGCAAGAAGTTTTAAGTTTTGCTGATTAGAAGTTGGGCTGTGGGTAATGTTTGCTGTTGTTCTAAGTGCTATGGTCTTCAAATTCCTCTTGTGTCCTTATTTTTATCTCCCCTCCAAACTTTAGGTTTTCCTAATTACTCCTTGCAGAGTCTACTTCTTGCAACTCCTTTAGCTATACTCTACTGTTATGACATTGGAGGCTTGTTAGCAATGTGATAATGTGTGGAGGAAAGCAAGTGTTCTATAATCTTATGATTAAAAATCAGTGTTTTGTGGGCCCGTGTCCCTAGGCTATTACCTTCACAAGTGTTTCTTAGCTTCTTTCTCTTCCTTATGTAAGAATGGAAGGCTAAAGTGGGCTGGATAGGAAGAATGCCTTTTCCTCAGCCGAGATAAGGCTCAGGGAAAGACTTTTTCACTAGTAGGCCTTTATCACAGAGATGGTTCATGGTATATTCACGAGAGTGTATTTTCCCCTCCCAGAGCCATGGGGACCTTTCTGGGATGTTCACTTGTGAGAATTTGCTGGAATTCCTAGAGGGTAAAGCCCACTAAATCTCTAAGCCTATAAGT